CACCAACAAAATGAATTGTTGGGGATATTGTCCTCGAAGCTCAAGTCTGAGCGTCAAATGAGATCATAATGCAACTCACGTAAGCTAAAAAGAGGTTAATGACGTGACCCCGTGAGGTTTAGGGTATAAAAACCCCTGGGAAAGACCCAGAGGCTGTATGTTTGGTGGGGGTGGCACGAGCTTACGACCACTCAGTAAAGCACGAGCGAGTTTCGTTGCTAAGAGACCAGTAAATTGGATGTTTTGACCGTACGTTGTGATGCTGGGTGCCTTGGCTTATTCTCTTTAAACAGTTTTGTGGATCATCATCACGAAGATATAGAAGATCTGCCACGTTCTTCATTAACCATGCTGCTTTCTTCTGGAAAGCTCTTGTCCTCCTCGAGCACAAACATCTTCCACTGGGTAAGTAATAATCTCGATGACATCATTTAATTTGAGATTTGTTATTGTATTCCTGAGAGTTATCCGTCTAGTTAACCTTTTTTTTAATAGCTGCTGTTATCATTGCTATCACGTTGACAAATTAAATTATATTTCATTTGAACTTTTGTGTTTTCTGTAGCAGTTTTACATAATATGTACCATGTTTTGTAATAAAAATGTTTTATTAATTTTTTAACATAATGATTTTGACTATAAAGAATAGTAACAAATGTAATTAGTTAAATTGTACATTGTAACATGAAACCAAACTAAGTTTAGATACGTTTGAAAACCTTTTCACGGGCTAAAGATCAACAATTTTGGTAAAATCTAATTTATTTATTTTTCCAGAAGTATATTGTAATTATTTCAACGGATAAACCCCCTCCCAGCGGTACAACGGTATGTCTGCGGACTTACAACGCTAGAAACCGGGTTTCGATACCCGTGGTGGGCCACAGATAGCCCATTGTGTAGCTTTGTGCTTAACTTCAAAATAAGCAAACAAAAAATCAACGGATAATTATATAATATAAAGTACTTTAACTCTCTCGATTGGCATCAGGAGGCGTTTACACACGTTAAAAATTGGTTCTAGAAATGTATATAATATATATATCTTTTAAGTTAAACTGCGCCATCAAACTCAAATTTACAAAGTTAGAGTAAGATGTTGTTTTCTTTATCTGTGTGTTTGTAAAGTTTCGTATGTATATTTCATTTAGGAACAGTAAAACCTTCGAAACAAGACATCATGAATGAAAACATAAATGTTAAGCTCCATAAACATGTACATAGTTACAATATTTAACTAAGTGTTGGTTTGAAATGTTTTTATTAAGTAACGATCAGCCCTATTACCGCTGCTACATCAAATGGGTTATTTTCACAACATAACTTAAGATTAGAAAAACTAAAAAAAGTTATACCTAAAAATGTCATACCTCTTTTCATTACAAAAGTTCCTGGGTACGTTTGTTTGTTTGTTTGTAATTAAGCACAAAGCTACACAATGAACTATCTGTGCTCTGCCCACCACGGGTATTAAAACCTGGTTTCTAGCGTTGTAAGTCCGCTGTGCCGCTGGGGGGCTTCGGGGTACGAAAACTATATTATGAAAAATTTCTTAATTTGACTTTCTTATAATGATAACCTAAGAAACAAATTTGTAATATGCAGTCGTTGATATAATACATTCTACGTTCGATAGTTGGAGTTTTCGTATTTTTATAAACAAGGACAAAATCAAAATAAGTTTGAGGGAGTATATATATATTAAACAATTGTATATATGGATTTTACTAAATAAATTAATAATTGTCGGGGGTTTACGAAACTGTTACTTATATTGAAGTGTTTTAAAATAACGATAAAAAATTTATCAACCTTGAAAACTTTCAAAATATGTGTCATTATTGAGGGTTGATCGCATTTTATTAGAACGATGTTTCAGGTTCGATGCTCTCTTTGGAATTGTACTTCGTCGATCATGATCCTTCACATAGCTATAATTATGGGTTAGTGTCTGACACCAAAGTTTCCATTAATTTTCAGACAATTTAATTTGATTTTTCTTTTCGGAATGATCAAACCGAAGCCAAAGACAAACCTTCGAACCATATATAAATTAGTCATATTCATATTAAACAGTTAAATAGGCAACATTGAGATTATAACTTTAAATAAATTAAGATACATACAGAAAAAAATAAAGATTGTTGCCAAATATAAGCATGTTGAGCTATCAGTTTCTATTGTGAAAGTTGACAGGTTTGAGAGAAGTCCAGAAATTATGTTCACGGTCCTAGAAACAACATAACAGTCTTGATAAGTAGGATTATCTGAAACCAACAAGCAATCACAAAATAAATTAGTTTGAAAAACTAACAAATTGTCATAGAGATAAATAATAAGTGCCTTGAAGGGTCACAGTGGAGGTTCCTCTTTCCACACAACAAACTACTACAAATTTATATGCGCTGTGTACAGTCCTGAAAATGCAAAATAATTTCAAAAGATTAATGGTCACATATTCAATTTTCAGAGTTACGTTGTCACAGAGTTAATAACAGTTCTATTGAGTGTAACTGTTTCCAACAAGTAGTCAAATAGTTAAATGTCATTTGCTGATTACAGTCGTGATGAGTTAGAATGAGTGTTACTGTTACCAAGCAACAACTGTGGTCACACAGTTTATCAAAATGAGCAAATCACATATAACTCTAAATGTTTCCAATCACTCACAAATTTGGATATTATTTTCCATTAAGAGCCTTGAAAAATTCCAATAGATATTATTGTTTTTAAAAGATCACTGTTTACAGAAATGGTATGTTGTGCTTTAATTATTATCACTAACAGTAATATTATTTCGCATAGATATTACTACTGAATTATATCATATTGCATTAACTTGTATATCACGTACAATAATGACTTTTTTTCTTTGTCTCTTTGGAAATTTGTTTAAGAAATAATAATAATAGAATATAAGGTATATTCACACAGTAGACGAATTCGGAATTTTAAAATCAAAATTGGCTCTTAAAGTTGGATGCAATCAACCATATAGTTAAAAATATGTATTACTGATTATGTTTTATTCCTTAATAAAAGTGTTGTGGTTATTATAAAAATATATTCGTCAGTCACAAGGAAATTTGCAGTGAAATAAAGTACATACATGTTTGACGTTTTACATTTTTCATAACAAAAAAAATAAAACATTACCTTTAAATATACATATATATATAACTATATTGTAAAGGTAGACGCTTTGCTTTGTTGTAAAGTTTAAACTTTCCTATTCTTTAAAAATCAAAAGTCACATTAGGAGCACTTGTGTGGCCCACAATGTCCCACACTCGAAATATCATTAACTCTACGGAGTTAGGTATGAGTAGAAGTTCGTATCCCGCTAAGCATTTTGAATTAGTTAAATGATTTAGTTTCAAGTTCTAATTCTACATTTTAACCTTGTCATCTAAGGTTTTTGCCTGACGTGCATACAGTAAATGGTTATTATGGTAAAGAATAAGTTATACTTAGCAGCCTAGTAGTCGGGTTTTGGTAACAAATTTCACGTTGACTTTCCTCCTTCATTAAAAGAAATAAATTTCCACAATTGGCTGTGGAGAGTTAACAACAGTTTCAATGTAGGTCGTTGATGTACCATCCCTTAGTTTCAACCTGATTGTGGAAATTAAGTTCATAGTTAATCAGGGATATGCAAATACTGTTATTTACATTAATATAACTGTCTAGCTTGTTTTAGTATGTTTTTTTTATGTATTGTCAAATGTACTGGGACGGCAATCCTTCCGAAGGGTGGAGGGCTCATGTTTCGGCCCAAAGACTCCATTCCATTAGGTAGTGAACTCCGTCTTCGAGTTCATCACAGCCTGGCCTTATGGGTTATTAACACTTGTAACTAATCATTAATACACACCTAGTAAAATAAACCACCAGTGTTCTTACAAAGCAAGTTCAATTATAGTAAAATATATAGATTTGGGTGTGACCTAGTGTTTTCCATTGCTGAACCAAAAGATTACGGTTCACGTCCTCTTGCCGCAAAATCGTGCTCCTCGCTTTTGGGCCATGAGTGGTAATACGATCGACAGCCAAATCCCACTATTCGATTACAGTAGACCAACAACTGCTGATGGATGCTATTGACTATCTGCCTTATCTCTAATTTATCAGTTCAAAATTAGGGACGGCTAGTACATATAGCCCTTGTGCAACTTTCCACAAATATCCAAAACAGAAAATTTCCGTCAAACAGTTTTAGAGAACATTCCACAGTGGTTTAACTAGAATTACGTCAGCTTTCTAAGCTAGAAAAAGCAGATTCTGGACGTTACTCGTTTTAAATCACTATTAGACGCTGCACATGGCATAGTGTTGAACAGTGATCAGAATGTTACAATAGGGAAAGGCTTTGGATTCAATTCAACACAACTGAAAAGAGCCCTGCAGTTCTTAACCCTCAATAAAGTACGGAATTATGGATCTAATAGCATATGTTTCTTTCTACAACATGTTTTTAAAAGTTCGCATGGAGCAAAGAATGGTTAATTTTGGACTTACAGACAACATCCCACATTAGCATGTCTAATGGCCTTCTCTTTTTTTTTCTTTTTTTTTGGCGCTCACTATCCACAGTGGTTTTTGATGTGGAACGTGGACCGAAATATTCTGAGCTTCTTTCCGTGCAGAATAATCTCTCCAAGTGGGTGGCTATCTATGTTAGTTGTTGACCTACATGAACTTCACACAAAAGTGCAATATGGGGACGGGTCCATCTTTAGCTCTGAGTATATTGTCTCCAAACATTTGGTATGATAATAAATTCACATATGTTTAGAATATCTTACTTTGGTTTTAATATAATTCTTGAAACATATTTTCTTTAGAATACTGGTGTGCATGTTACAACAGCGTGACTTGAATATTTTTTGTGTTAATTGTATTTCTGCTAATTTCTTACAAATGAATGCAGTTCTGTTACTGACATACAAATGAGTGCAGTTCTGTTACTGACATATTTTTATTCACTCTATTTCTTTACAGATGATACTTATTCTTGTTGTGCCTCTTTTGTGGCTTCAGTTTGTAACGTCAGCGTTTAACGGATATGGCCAAGAAATCCCTATTCCTGCTGGTGTAAAGGCGAATTACATGATTCGAAACCACCTCGGTTTCGGAACGTACAAGTACGGCTACGATACAGGATCTGGGCCGAATCAGTCTTTCAGACAGGAAGAGAGAGCAGAGAATGGTACAGTCCGGGGAAGGTGGGGATATGTGGATCCCTATGGTAGCCTCAGGGTGACGGAATATCTAGCAGATGCTACTGGGTATCACATTTTAAGACAGCGAATAATAAAACCAGAATTTGAAGAACCAATAGTGAAACCACCCCGGCCTGTCGAGAATCCACCTGGACCTTTCATTGGACCTCTCCCTCCATTTCTTTCTCGACCATCACCAGACGATATATGACTTCATTTTGTCTTACTTAGTATGGTTTTGCTAGCGAAGCCTGGGGTGGTAAACTATTTTGCTTAAAGTACGGGGATGACGACAAGTGTGCCACGAAATACCTATCTCTTCAAATTTCCTGTCCAAGTGAATAGAAACTATCAATACAAGTATTATGAATCATAATATAAACTACTTTTTTTGCAATATTTTGTAGGAATCATTCTTTGTTGTTAAAACCGTGCTCGTGACAACAAGATGTTGCATAGTATTTATGACCAACTTTGTTACCTTCGGCCGGTGTAGCTTCTTGATGAGATATTTCAGTCTTATTTTTATTATCAATTACCATACATAATTTTATCTAGTATTTTAGTGTTGCATAGTATTTATGACCAACTTTGTTACCTTCGGCCGGTGTAGCTTCTTAATGAGATATTTCAGTCTTATTTTTATTATCAATTACCATACATAATTTTATCTAGTATTTTAGTGGTGATGTGGATTTTAATATATCTTATAAACAGACTCGCAGAAACCCAATAATGTTCAATACAATATAACCAAATGCAGTACATTACAACATGGTTTGATGTATGGGTGAAAGAGAAATGGTATATTTTATTGAAAATTATATTTATTTATTTTTTATGGGGGATTGGGGGTGGGGTGCAGACAGCGATTTTACATTAAAGATTACAAGTTGAATATTAATATTTGTTGATATTTCGAATAAACTATTTAGCACTAGAATCTCTTGTCTACTACTACTATTACTTGTTTTGAATATTAACCTAAAAACGTTGAGTGGAAAATAAGAGTGAACTTAAAATTATCTTCGTGCAAATCAACAAGTGATCTCTAATAACAATGGGGTCTTTTTTATGCTATAGATTTCTAATTTCAACTTCTTTTTTTTTCCAACTCCATTATTATACATCTTACTTGTTTGGACATTCGTTAGATCTTATATTTTCCACTCTTTTCTGTAATCTGAATAAAGAGAACTGTTTGGTCTGTGAAGGTCGGATATATCATAATTAAGTGTAATTCCCAGAAAGCAAACAAAGAAGAAAGATATAAGACTACACAGAGCTTAGTAAAATAAATGAATAAAAAGATGGTAAAAGAAGAGACAGGGAGAAATGCTGTAGCACAAAAACACTTCAATGAAATAGAAAAATTATGTTTAATTTTTGTACTATTTCTAGTAATTTATTTCTGAATTGACAGTTGTATGTATTCACGTAATTTATTTTCAAGAGAAAGCACTTAATTAATGTTATGATTATAAACATCATGTGTAGAATTTTGATAGCAAACACACTGCTGAAGAATAAAATTAGATGCATCTAGCTTGTTTTATATATAAGTAAGATTTCCAAATGTTTTCATTTGCATTTATTGTTAAAATAAAAATCTCACAAACCTTAAGAAATATATGTAGTGGTATTGATTAGGGGCTTATATAAAATATTATCAATGTATTGTTTTTAGTTTTAATCCTTATAGTAATTATCTAATTACCGAATTTCATTAAAATCATTAAGTATTTCCCTTCCAGGATAGGACAGAGCGCGGCCTAATAGTTATCATATCGGACTAAGGACCCGAGGGTCACACGTTTGAGACGTGGTGACACCAAAAATATTTCGCTCTTGCAGTTGTAGGTGGAATAAGAGTGACAATCAATCCCGCTATTCAGTTCAGAGTAGCCGCTTCTGGCAGCGAGAGTTGCCGGATGATTGCCTTCCTTCTAGTCCGCAATTCAAATTACGGACGACAATGGCTGAAACAGAAGGGTCTTGGGCTTCACCTGCCAGTTTAGCCCATTGTATACATAAGGTATAGTTCAAACAAAAAATCCTACCGGGGTAATTTTGTTTTCTTTCTTTCTTTTTTCTGGCGATTGTAAAAAAAAATAATAATAGCTGGTGGTTGAAAATACTAAATTATTTTTATATGCATTTGTTTTGACAGCATCCTCTAATTCTGCGGACATAATAAATGTTATTGTGATTGATATGTTGTTATGTATCCTTTTAAGGACTCATTTGAAAAAGTAAGAATCACAGGTCATCTTTTTTTTTATTTGAAGAGTTCTTCTGAAGATAAGAAGAAAAAAAAAACGATTTCAATACCGTTAATAGTACAATCTTCAGGATCTCTAAGTTAAGAAAACATGATTGCGTAGATCTGGTTTCAAAATGTTCATATATCCTTCAGGCATAAAACATGCAAAGAAGGACATAAATATAACTAAAACTACTGTTCAATCAAATTCTTCTAGAAGACAAATCTTATAAAACAGCCCTGAGTAGCATTTTATCACTTATCTGATTTGGCTGTGCTACAGTACTTATGAGCTAATCATGGTGTGGATTTTGCTACCTATTATGATTTTACATATTTGGTATATTTATAACTCAGCGAGATGCAAAAGAAACGTGGGTATTAAATGAGCGTGAAGAGTCTCCAGCATTTTAAATGATTTTTGTATATAAATATACAGAGTTGGGGCTATAATAAAATACATTTTAAATGCTTAATGAATTTTCAAAATTACAGAATTTAATTAAAAAACAAAGACAACTGTGCGTTTCACAAAAACTTCATATATTCACAACGATGGTTTCGCCAGTAAAGGAATCATCATGTTTCAGACTGTAATTTAGGAGTTTCACCAAGTACCGACGGTTTCAAGTATCCATTTTCCAAAGTTAGTCAAGTGGTAAACAGAAAATTTTTAAAACTAATTCTGTGCTTCATGATAGCAATATCAACAAATAATTCTACAGTGGTTTCTTTCAGCTTGTTTACAAGGCAAAATAAAAAAAAATAAAATAACCTTATTGGTTATATAAAATGTACGAGAAATTCAGTATCTTCCTTACCTTATATGCCTACTGAAACATCTGCTTTTTACCAGTTGATCTTACTTTTATGTAACTAATCACTGGATTCCTTTCGTATAAATTCTCTACACAACTGGTTATAGTTATAGTGGATATCACTTGCTAATTACCTGAAAATTGACAAGGAAACATATCTGTAGATAAAGTTTGAATTAATTTAGGTTATACGTTTAAATGAAAAAAAAACTCTAACCGATCATAATTTATTTGTGACGATATAAAAATATAATTAACTTCTCATATTAAACGACAAATTCAAAAGTAGAGAAAAACATCTTTAGACTTGAATGAAACATCCTATCAGATTATATTTAGAAATACATCACATCACCAGCCTATAAGTAAGACGTTTTAAAATTATATATCTGAATACATTAAAATCAATTGTGCAAATCAGAAATCCATTCCGGAGAAAACTGGTACATATATTGTTTATTTTATTTTAATTTTGTCTTTTCATGCAGTTTATTTTTATATATTATAGTTATGTTTCGGTATTTCACTGTGCCTCCAATATCTTATTGAGATCAATTCCCCTAAAGTCTTGTAAGTGTAGAATGTCTAAGGATACCATCCGTATTAAAACATATAGAGAAATCATTTACATCTTTTGTAAATATACCTTGAATCTTGACGCCTCTTGTTTTTCCTGCCATAGAAGTTTTTCTTTATAGTCTTCATTATATTCTATATTTGTAAATCACAGTGGTATCTTATTCTTCTAAAAGTTTTTATTTCACTTTCTGTCATTCCAGGCCTCACAAAATTGTCACTTTCAGCTATTTCTTATTCGTTTAAATCACAGGGAGCGGGGATTCCCTTACTGAAAGCACGCCTTTCATTTGTGTGAGAGTTCCCTGCGGGCCCATGAAAACAACAAGCATCAAGGCTAAATTCCATATTCTACAGAATTTGTGTCATGTGTGTGTTCAAAAGGTTGCCTAGGTCACGACTAGGAGATCTCTAAGGGCAAGGAGGCAAATGCTGAAAAACGTGGGTGGGAACTTTGGGACGTAATAGTGATGGGAATGTAAGCCTGTGCCATTTCCTAAGGTTTCATAATATTTTATCATTAAAAATACTGACTAACAGATAGATAGATATATAGATAAATAGATAGATAGATAGATAGATTGACAGATAGATAGATATATAGATAAATAGATAGATAGATAGATAGATTGACAGATAGATAGATAAAAAACTGGGCTGAAAAACTGATAAACAATCATTAGAAAATGTAGTATCTCTTCATTGTAGTAGTATTTAGTAGGAACGTTATAAAACCAACTCCAACTACAATTGAATGACACTGCTTATAGCATTTGTTAATACCGGATAGGTCTCCTATAAACTTTCTCTGGTTATCTGGTATTTTAATTGCTAGAGAATACCGTGAATCTTAGCATCTGCTAGTAGAGACGAGGGAACTATTATAAGTTGTTAATGAAAGGTCTAGCAACTGCTAGTACATTGTTGACAGATCGTCTTGTAGTTGTTAATGAAAGGTCTAGCAACTGCTAGTACATTGTTGACAGATCGTCTTGTAGTTGTTAATGAAAGGTCTAGCAACTGCTAGTACATTGTTGACAGATCGTCTTGTAGTTGTTAATGAAAGATCTAGCAACTGCTAGTACATTGTTGACAGATCTTCTTGTAGTTGTTAATGAAAGGTCTAGCAACTGCTAGTACATTGTTGACAGACCGTCTTGTAGTTGTTAATGAAAGATCTAGCAACAGCTAGTACATTGGTGACTGATCGTCTTGTAGTTGTTAATGAAAGATCTAGCAACAGCTAGTACATTGGTGACTGATCGTCTTGTAGTTGTTAATGAAATATCTAGCAACTGCTAGTAGATGACATGTTTTCTAATACATGCTATAAGATAAAAGCTTTATAGATTAAATTCATTAACCGCTATAGCTTTTTTGGTTTCTCAGTTTTTGGTAACTGAAATTGCCTAATGTTGTTGCGTTAGTAGAAGAGAACTAATAAATTATAAGTAAACTTTTTTATAAAATAAAATATATAGTATGTCATAACTTGCGCCTTATTAAATGTTTTATTAAACCTTGAAAGATGTGCACGAAATTTTCACAACTTGTTTCAATCTTAAAACTGCATTAAGTTTAATATTTACGCATAGCGTATTTTCTGGAATGTTTTTTTTTAACAA